TGGTTTCCGTTATTTGACCAGTCCTCGTTCCACACTGTATGAACTCTATCATTCTGTTTCACAAACAATTTCCTGGTCTCTTCTCTTCTTCATTTTTGTAATATAATACTTATCTGCTGCTCAGTGACTCCGTGGAAAAACCATTACGAAAAATGTAATGGAGTTCATATTACTTTATAGTCATATCTCAAAAGTGAATCCACGACCAAGATAAAGTGCCAGAATAATAGAAGTTTCTCTCGTTGTTCTCTTTTCTTATTTACAAACTCACTACGTATATACAAGGCAGGTAACGAGTGGAAACATTTCCTGAGGTGTATTTGTCACTTCGCTCTATCCTTGACTCAATTCTTCTCTCTACTCAGCTCTGTAAGACCTGTCCACCCGTCAAGCAGGCGATGAAACATGTTCAAGTCAGCTTGAGCCTGAAGATTACTCTCCTCGTTCAGCCGTAGGATTTGCATGACACGGTACAATTCTACGGTCCGTCCTTTCTCGCTCCCACGCATGGTTCTTTCATTTCCACCGCGCAGATGCCACCTACATACCCGGGGCTGCGTTCAGAGGCTCATTACGTGTCAAGCACCCTTATTCTTGCGTGAAGTGCGCTAAAAAATGAAAAAGGTTGACTCCCTGGGATAGGCCCAGGCCTAGATTAAGCGGATCTAGTATCACATCGTCGCAGTGCGTCAGCAGCCGCTTCACGTTGCATGGGCTGCCTGGGGGAGCGCCCGTGCCAGCCTGAAAACGACAAGGGAACACACGGGACGGGTGAGAGGGGATGAAAACCAACCGCGGCGCCGCGAGGCCCGGTCGACTCGGCTCCCGCTCTCCGTCTTACTGCTGAAGACGTCTCGAACAGGCCGGAGGTGAGCGGGCGCTGCTGTTTGAGCTCCTCCAGGTAAACGAAGTCTCCCCTTCCAGGATCACCCGCTGGAACAGAATCTCAGCCCAGTCTGGACTGTAGCTGACTACGCCTCCGACACCACGAACACCTGAGACACAAAGCATCTGACTTCATCTCCTACACACACAACACTGGCTTTCACACACAGATAAAAACTGTCTCTATTCAGACAATAATCCTCACATGAATCCAACAAACTGGAAATACTTTGTTTCTCTGTTGATCAACTGATTGATTAATTAAACTTATTGTTTTCATGCTGACGGGAAGTGAGATACAGTTTTGTTAGATAAATGAAACAAGACTTTATGTGCAGCATTTAAAAGATGCAGAGACCTTTTATCTTCTTTGAAAGATGTTTTTAGTCCAGACCGGAGAGACGAGACTTTCAGACCGTTTGCGCTGCGTTTTCCACAACTTCGAGCGACTAAAGACTAAAACCTAATGGAACACACCCCTTTGAAAGTTCTCTTAATAAAGAGTTTAGTCTTTAAACCTTTATGTGTTTCACCCTCAGAGTGAGATGAACACAGGTACAGGCAACACACACTGGTAGCATGCGGGCAGACCCACGCCTGTGTTCAGCAGCTCGGCAGGTCGCAGGTTGATGACACGCAGGTCTGAGCCCTGTTTCAGGAAGTGGGATTGAAGAGAGCCAGCTTCGCCGTCTGACGCGCGCGAGCGATGGCCTGACGGACACACGATCCTGGAAAACACACACACACACAACACACACACACACACACCACACACACACACACAGTTCAATCCTCTGTCAGGGGTGTTACAGGCAGAAACAGAAAGCAAGGGGGGAGGAGCTCAGGAACCTTTGGAGAAGCTCTCGGCGCGTCCTTCCATTCAGGACCCACACACTTATTGACCAGGCGAGCTCTTCAGGTCGGGGGTCACGACTGTTCGGAGACACGTCAGAACAACTCAGAGTCAAAAACAACCACGTACGGAAGTATTAGCTAGCCCGGTTAGCGCCTCCGGCCGCATCAATAACACCCTCGCACCACGCGCGTGGCAGTACTCGGATCTAGTCCCTCCTAAGACATATTGACCTCGCAGTGGTGTGACCTATGGACTAGGTATCTCTCTCTTTCAGGTTTCTCCCCATGGCTCGACTCAATGCTCTACCACTACATCCAACTCTCAAATAAGGACTTGACTTACCATTTACCTCACAAAGTATCGTGTTAATCTCACCGCCCTATGTCTCTACGGGCTTCTGTTACAATACGCCCTTCTCGCTGTCCTGCGGTGACGCAGCGTTTTGATTGCTAATCCCAGCTATGGTAGGCCCCGTTCCACCTCCATTTTCACGACTGGGAGCCTGCAGCCGGGTGATGGACAGGTGACGCCAGCGGTTAAATCATGTCACGGGTTAAGTGTGGAGTCCACACCATTGGAGTTCAAGGTCGAGGTCAAAACTGCTGTGCATTTCTTTTCCTCTCTAGATAATTGTGCTAATTAACGTATGATTAACTGTGTGATGTTGGTGTGGGTGTCGTTGGTGTGGTGTGTCGTGTGTGCTGTGACTCCACCCTGTTGCTGATCCCGTGTCCATTCTTACTTCGTCTAGCCAGCCATCTCAAAGCCGATGGATTTACTGATCGCAGAGGTCGGAAGAGTACGTCATCTCATGAGGTGAGTTCATGTGGGACAGGTAAGTAAACACAGCGATCATCACAGTGTTTAAATGAAATTAAATCTTATGATAAAGATTTTGCTCTTGTTTCGTTATTTGCAGCTGTTCACACTGTGACTGTAACATCTGTTCCAAACATCTGGTTTCATTCTCTTCTTCATTTGTTAATATAAACTTATTCTGCTCAGTGACTCAGTGAGAAAAACATTAGAATAAATGTAATGGATTCATTATTATTTATTAGTCATTAATCTCCACAGAAGATAAGTCAGAAATAAAGTTTTTCTTGTTTCTTTTCTTTTACAAACAACTTTAGTACATGAACAGTTTCCTGGTTATTTGTCACTGGTTCTGACGTCTTCATTAACAGTCCGTCAGTCAGCAGGTAAACCAGTCAGTCAGCTGGCGAGTCTGTCGTTCAGGTAGTTGGAGGTCGTGGCGTCCTGCAGCATGGTCTTGGTGACGTCGTACAGGTTCTGCTGGTAGGCCAGCCTGTAGCGGCTGTACACATCGTCGCAGTGCGTCAGCAGCCGCTTCACGTTGGGAGTGGCGCTGCTGGGAGCGCCGTCCAGCCTGAAACGACAGGGAACACACGGGACGGGTGAGAGGAGGTGAAAACACCGGGCGGCGAGGCTCCGGTCGACTCGGCTCCCGCTCCGTCTTACTTGCTGAAGACGTCCTCGAACAGGCCGGAGGTGAGCGGGCGCTGCTGTTTGAGCTCCTCCAGGTAAACGAAGTCTCCCTTCAGGATCACCCGCTGGAACAGAATCTCAGCCCAGTCTGGACTGTAGCTGTACGCCTCCGACACCACGAACACCTGAGACACAAAGCATCTGACGTCATCTCCTACACACACCACACTGGCCTTTCACACCAGATAAAAACTGTCTCTATTCAGACAATAATCCTCACATGATCCAACAAACTGGAAATACTTTGTTTCTCTGTTGATCAACTGATTGATTAATTAACTTATTGTTTTCATGCTGACGGGAAGTGAGATACAGTTTGTAGATAAATGAAAAGACTTTATGTGCAGCATTTAAAAGATGCAGAGACCTTTTATCTTCTTTGAAAGATGTTTTTAGTCACAGCGGGAGAGACGAGACTTTCAGACCGTTTGCGCTGCGTTTTCCAAACTTCGAGCGACTAAAGACTAAAACCTAAATGGAACACACCCCCTTTGAAAGTTCTCTTAATAAAGAGTTTAGTCTTTAAACTTTATGTGGTTTCACCCTCAGAGTGGATGAACACAGGTACAGGAACAGGAACACACCTGGTAGCATCGCGGCAGCCCCACGACCGTGTTCAGCAGCTCGGCAGGTCGCAGGTTGATGACACGCAGGTCTGAGCCCTGGTTCAGGAAGTGGAGCTGAAGAGCAACCAGCTTCGCCGTGCGGACGCAGCGAGTGGCCTGACGCACACACGAGTCCTGGAAACACACACACACACACACAGAGACACACACACACACAGTTCATCTCTCTGTCAGGGTGTTACAGGCAGAAACAGAAGCAGAGGGGGAGGAGCTCAGGAACCTTGGAGAAGCTCTCGGCGGCGTCCTTCAGCAGACCCAACACTTTGACCAGCGAGCTCTTCAGGTCGGGGGTCACGACTGTTCGGAGACACGTCAGAACAACTCAGAGTCAAAAACAACCACGTACGGAAGTATTAGCTAGCCGTTAGCGCTCTGCCGCTCTCACCCCAGGCCTGAGACTCGATGATCTTCAGCTGAGTGCGAGCAGCCATCTCGTGGTTCTCCCCGATCTCCCGCCTCATGCTGAAACACAGCGCCACCATGTTGTGTTTCTCGCTGTCTGCGGGGAGGCAGCGTTTGATGTAATCCAGCAGAGCCGTCTTCAGACTGGAGCTCTGCAGCCGGAGGCACAGGTGAGGGTTAACATCAGGTTAATGTGGGGTCACATGGGTCAAGGTCGTCAGACTGTGTGCATTTCTTTCCTCTGATAATTGTCCATTAACGTATGATTACTGTGTGTGTGTGTGTGTGTGTGTGTGTGTGTGTGTGTGTGACTCCACCTGTTGTCTGTCCGTGTCCATCTTCTTCCTCAGCAGCATCTCAAAGCGATGGTTCTGATGCAGCAGGTCGAAGACGTACGTCATCTCATTGTACCTGCCGATACCTGTCAGCAGACGCACCTGCACACACACACACACACACACACACACACACACACACACACACACACACACACACACACACACACACACACACACACACACATTTCTATCTACACTTTCCTACGGACGACAACGACCTTTTTGTTCTCGTAGGTGAGTGGGCGGGGCTTACCAGCAGGCTGTAGTGCTCTCCTGGGGCGAGGTAGGTGTGGCTGAGGTGGCGGGCGGCCTGGAGCACCCTGACGATTCCCTCCATGTTACAGGTGAGACTGAAACAGTCGTGAGCCACGATCAGCAGCTCCACGACTGCAGGAAGAGGAAGAGGAAGAGGAAGAGGAAGTGGATTCAGACAAACGTTTAAAACATTAAAAACAAGTTGTATCTTTGTGAAACGTTGCTCACAAACTAAAGAGTTTTAGTTCAGTCTCATTAATGTGGATGATGCTTTATCTTATGAGGCTGTAATTTCATAGTAATTTATTATGAAGTTTCCTGGAGAGAAGTTTGTGATTTAAAATAAAGTATTTGCAGTTTAATATTTCCAATTAGTGGATTTTAATGAATTGTTAAAATAATCCTGAAGAACTGCCTCTGAACTCAGTAACAAACAGCTGTCTTTATTTAATCTATAATTAGTGCAGATTATTATTATTATACAGATCTTTCCAGGAAACTTCAATCTACAGGAAAATTTAATTACAATTAAATTATTAGGAGAGTTAAAGAGTAAATATTGATATGTATTAAAGGAATATTTCACCAGAAAAGCAGCCAAAAGTAAAGAGTGCACAAAACAGTGTGTGTATGTGTGTATGTGTGCGTGCATGTGTGCGCGTGTGTGTGTCGTACTGCAGCTCAGGTCTCTCAGTGGAACGGCGTTGAGGTTTTCCAGCAGTTTGATTCCCACCAGGTTCGGGTCGTCGCACAGTTTGATCAGCTGGATCAGAGAGTCCCGCCCCTCCGCCGGCCTGAAGACCTGCTTCTCTGCTGGGTTAGACGCACACACACACAGACACACACACAGCCTTCGGACCATCACTTAAGGACAGAAAAAGTCACGGAGAACATTATTACACAGTGACGTGAGTAACGTGACAATTTCAGAAATGTATTAACTGCTGTTTCTAACTCTGTTTTACTGTAGAGCACAGAGACATTTCACCACCGGCCCCGCTCTCACCAGGCTGCAGCTCCTGGGCGGAGGCCAGCAGAGCCTGGACCACGGCGGAGGACACCAGCTCGGCCACGGCGTCCGCGGTGAGACCCTGCGCCCTGATGAAGGCCTGAGCCTTCCTGAAGCGCTCGGGCTGATCCGACAGCAGCAGCATCTCCAGCACGCAGCGCGGCTCCTTCCTGCAGATCTCGCCGAAGGAGGTCTGCAGCTCCTAGGGAGGAGGGAGGGACGCGGACAGCGGGTCAGCGGTAACCATAGCAACATGGCCGGATGTATTCATGACAGCACAGTTTAAAAGAGACAGGTGGGGGGAAACTTATTTCTCTACGACAACATGCGATCACACCTTGGAGAGCTGGTAGAGGCTGAGGACTTGTTTACAGTAGTTGTTGCCGTGGCGACACTGATCCACCAGTTGCTGGAGCTGGACAGCCACCTCGTCTTCGGGGAGGGGGAGCATGACGAACGACAGGCTGCTGAAAGAGGCAGCTGCAGCGAGAGACAGAAGAAAAGACAGAAAGTTCAAGTTCAATTCTGAACTTTCTTCTTCATCTCTTTATGTCGCCTGATTAAATACTGAAATACTAAACTATGTTTTTCACAGTCAGCAGGATAATCTGGTTCCTGTTGCTCTGCTTACTTTGTTATTTTGCTGCTTCATTGCATCTTATTGTCCTCTGTCTGTAATGTAAGCCCATCCCTTCACTGGTTACACCTAATATGAACTTATAAACAAACAAGTGAAACGACAGTTCTCCCCGCAGCCTGGAGGGGAGGGAGGAGCTTACAGCTGGTCATGCTCCTCCTCGGCGGAGCGTCTGCAGCCTCTTCCTGCGGTTCGGGGTTCAGGTCTCCGGACGCGAGGCCTCTGCAGCGCAGCACCACCCACATGTCCCGGTGATACGTTGAGAAATAACGGCAGATACGGCTGGCTTCATGGATGCTGCCGTCATCCAGTAACTGACCGATCAGCGCGGCCAGAACGCGCCTCTCCTCTGGACTCAACCCGGAGTCGATATCCGGCTCCTGCTGCTCCTCTGAGGGACCCGGGAGTCCCTCCAGACTGAGGCACTTCTCTGAGTTCAGAGCTGATATGTTGGAGAAGGAGAACTCCTTCATCAGCATCTCGTACGTGTTCATTTCAGGTGTGACGGCGGGCGGCGGCAGGTTGAAGACGCTCTCCTTCTCCATGGCGACGGTGAGGACGTGTCGTCGGACCCGGCTCACCCACAGCGTTTTCTCCAGGCTCTCCAATTTGTCCACGGGAGCCGGGCCGACCAGGGAGAGCCAGTGAGCGGCGAGGCCCAGCAGCAGGCAGCGCTCCTGGACGTCCAGCAGCTCCGCCTGAGCCTCTCCTCCGGCGGGGGAGGAGTCTGTGGTCCCGGCCTCAGACTGAGACAGGAAGAAGCTGGAGGCTGATTCTGGATCAGTGCCGTCCGTCTTCAGCTGCTCCTGACATTTCTTCCAGAAACTGACGCGGGTCTCCAGCCTCCTCCACTGAGTCTTGGACTTCTGGGCGTTCACTTCCTGAAGGAGCTACAGGAAACACGAGAACACACGCCGATCACTAACTGTGAAAGCAGGTGAACTAGGTCAGACAGGTGTGATTGGAGGGATAAAAAAGTGAGCTCAGGCAAATTCAGGAAATGTAAAACAGGAAAGTGCATGAAGACCTGGCTCAGCAGCAGGCGGTGGACGGGGAGGCCGGCCAGCAGAGCGACCTGCCGGGCCTGGCTGTAGCGGCCTGCGGCCTGCAGAGCGTCCACAGCCGCCTGGAACTCCTCCTGCTGGACGGAGGGAGACGTGCACTGCAGCAGCCTGGGAGACAGGCTGACCTCTGACCCCTGCAGCAGCTGACTGAGCTGACTCAGCTTCCTGAAGTCTGGACCTATACACACACACACACACACACACACGTTACAACTCAATAAACAGTTCACCACATCAGTTTCCGTGGCGACGGATTCTCCGATCTCACCGCTGGATTTGAGGAGCTTGTCGACGCCGGCCAGGAGCTGCAGGAGGCGGTGGAGGTCGTACTGGGAGGAGCAGCGCTGCAGCATGGTGAGGAGCAGCACGGACGCCTGGCTCTCCACCCACTGCAGGGGGAGGCCGTCAGAGGGAACCGGACCGCCGTTCTTCAACTAGATCGGCACAGAAGAAGAAGAAGTCAGATCAGAGAGGATGAACTCTGTTTACGTCCTTCCTGTCCCGGATGATCCATGAACTCCTGGTCCTTCACCTGGGAGACTCTGGATCACCACCAGCCTCTAAAGCAGGTGTAAAGTCTCCTGTGATATGTTGGTGGACTCACAGTGATGAGCGTCCTCTGGAAGTCCAGCAGCTTGGCTTTGGCCTCGGAGAAGTTCCTGTGGTCACAGCACAGCTCAAACATCCTGAGCACCAACACCAGAGGGCAGTCCTGACACACGGAGACAGCAGACAGCTGCAGCACTGAATATTCAGCGTTTATTATCAGATCTATTTTATCCAATAATCACCAGGTTTTCTACTTAAATCTGACACTTGAGGTTTAATTTCTCCTCAGCTGAGCGAGTCACTTAAAGGTGTTGCACAGAATCTCTTAAGAGTCTTAAGGTAAGTCATTTACAGCGATTAAAGAGACTTTACAGCGATAAAATTCTACTGTTTCCATGGAGATGGTTTGTCTACTAGCATTAGCACTTACATGTTAGCACTTTTGGGGATCGGGTAACATTAAAGACGTGCAACGCTATCTCATCCTCTCATCCTGCTGTTGTTTTGTGCAATAATTTGACTTTAAGTGATTCCTGAAGAATAAGACTAAGATAAGGAGAAAACCTTAAATACTTAAGGGGAAACCTTAAGAGACTTAAGGGTGTTTTGTGGCCCCAGACGTTCACGCTGATTAATCAGTAGAAACTCAATCGGTCAGTCGATCATTAAACTGGTCACTCGTCTGTTTCTCGTGTTTTTACCCTCTGGAAGAGCTCGAAGCCTCGTAGGAGGGGCCTGATGCAGCCCCGCCCCAGCAGCGTCCTCCAGATGATTGACAGGTCGTGCAGCGTCCAGTCGTGGTGCTGGGGGGCTACCACCAGGTGGGAGGTGGCTTCCCTCGCTGTGACGTCATCGACGGAGGTCAACACCCACACACACAGGGAGGGAAGCAGCTCCGCCCCCTGTCGATCAAACAGGTCTGTCAGTGGCACGAAACACATGAGCTGAATTTAAGTTTTATAAAATAAAACGGTCTGTTCACCTGTTGACAGGCGGCGAGCACAGCCAGGGTCGGGCAGCGCTGCACCAGAGCTACCTGCAGCAGGTACCTGCAGGGTGCCGCCTCCTCCTGGCTCTGCAGGAGGACCTGGAACAGCTCCCTGGGGTGCTCCGGACACCCGGGGGCCGTCTCTGAGCTCAGAGCCTGCTCCTGCTCCTGGGAGCCACAGCTCCTCCTCTGACTGTACACCTGCAGGTCCTGGAACGCCAGACTCAGGTGGGCCTGGAGGGCGGGGCTGAACTGAGCCACCAGTGACCTCACCTGCAGGAAGATCCAAATATGGTCATTCACCCGACTGCGTCAACTAATCTCACAGAGCTTTAATGTCAGGATGTTGTGCAGGTGTGTGTGTGTGTGTGTGTTCACCTGCTGGGGCGGGAAGTTGTGCAGTTGGACAAACAACAGGAAGTGGATGAACTGTCCGTCACTGGCGCAGTGGGCGGGGTAAACAGAGCTGAGCTTCAGACCGTGGAGCTGACAGAACTGAACAGGCAACGCCCACTCCTGAGCCGCCTCATAGGATGACCTGATGCACACACACACACACACACACACACACACACACACACACACACACNAACCAATCCGCTCCTCCGCTGCTCCAGGCTCCGCCTCCGCCAGCTTCACTCCTTTAGACACTGAAACAAGACAAATCACTGTGTTTACCAAGAGTGTGTGTGTTGTGTTGCAGCAGAGTGTGTGTGTTGTNACACACACACACACACACACACACACACACACACACACACACACACACACACACAAAACCAAGAATCCAATATCAACAATGACACACATGTTCATTTTGTTCTGCCACCAACAGTCACAGGAAGTGACGTATTACGACATCAGGGTTCGAACCTGCTGATGCCCTTCTGCTCCAGACTGTCTGTCACTGCAGCCTCCAGGTAGCCAATCAGCTCCTCCGCTGCTCCAGGCTCCGCCTCCGCCAGCTTCACTCCTTTAGACACTGAAACAAGACAAATCACTGTGTTTACCAAGAGTGTGTGTGTTGTGTTGCAGCAGAGTGTGTGTGTTGTGTTGCAGCAGAGTGTGTGTGTTGTG